TTTTTTTTTTTTTTTTTTTTTTTTTTTTTTTTTTTTTGTCTTTTTCCGTGTCCGGCAACGGATTGCAACCCTCAGTGTTGCCCCCGTACCGGACCGGGACCGGCAACGGGATCGCAACCCTCGGTGCTGCTCCCGCGCCTCGCTCAGCCAGTGAGCGGGAACCGGTCTGTATGTGGGATCCAAACCCTCGGCGGGAGCGCCGCCGCGCTTCCCAAGCAGCGCACTATCGCAGTGCGCCACCAGGCCGGCCCAATATTTTACATATATTAAGTCATTTAATTTTTGAGTATCTACGAGATCAACATTTTCATGCCCATTTTATGGATGAGAACACCAGGCATAGAGAACTTTAGTGCCCTTGCATGGCACCACACAGAACAGTTCTGGAGCTCTCTCTCTGACTGCTGTGTGATGCTACCTCTCTGCAATAACAGTTAACAACTGAGTCCTTACTTTGCACCAGGCATGTGCCGAGTGCTTGAATGTAGTATGGAGAATTCTGTGGGGGTTTAACCCTGACTCTCCCTCTTACGAGCTGTGTAGACTTGAGTAAGTCACTTACTCCTTTTGCATGTGTTTCTGCATTTGTAAAACAGTGAGTTGTGAAAATCACACAAGTGAATAACAAGAGTATTTAAACCAGTGCCTGGCCCATAGCCAGCCTTCAGTTGTCTGCTATGATTTCATTTACTTCTTCTAACAACCAGGTCACATAGTTGTCATCATCATCATCTTCACACTGTACTAGTGGGGAAGGTGGTGCATAAAGAGGTCATGTAGGCACAGGTGTCATCCACTGTGTGCTAATATTCCTTCCCCCACCAGATTTATTTTGTTACTTAAGGGCAGCTTCTTTCTCATAATTAACTTGATTTTCTCCTAGGGGATGTCGTCGTAATGGTACAGGCTGTTGACAATGGTCATTACTGGTGGGCGATTTAGCCTAACTGTCATACAGTCCTTAAAGTCATTGAATGAAAATATCTAACCACCTGCCTGCCCCTGCCACACACACACACACATTCATTGAATGCAGTAATATGGCCAGAATATGGTTGTGCAGATCTCTCTTAATATCTCAGTGATAGTTACTCACAGCTCTCTAGAGAGCCTGTCCCATTGTTGGAGCTCCTGATTCTTAAGCATCCTTCCTTCTATTGAGCTGAAATCTCTGTGCAGCTCCCACCACTGGTCTTATTCTCTTGCCCCTGCAGCTGCTCAGAGCCTCATCCCTCTGTGCATGGCATGCTTCAGAGTACCTGGAGACAATGATCCTCACCTCCCCAGATCTTCTCTCCCAGGCTATACATAATCAGATCTTACCTCTGGGAGTGAGCAGGGTGGTAGGTATGGTTCTGGGCTGCTTCCTGACCCGGCTTGTTAAGTTTACACATTACCCTTTGGAGAACTGGCAAAAAGAGAAGGAGCAGATCTTTGACCCCAACCCCTCTTCCCAGGCCAAGTTCAGCTTCACCCCACCACGTGTGGGCATGCCTTACAGTAGTTCCTTCTCCTCCCCTCCCATTTTCCCAGCTCCACTACAGTTCAAGCTGAGCCCCAGGTATGAGAGCAGCAGATGGAAGACATCTCCACTGATGGGAGATGCCAGCACATCTGGCTGCCCAGGGTGGCATCTTCTGTGGAGAGCGAGAGAGAGCAAGGCGAGACTGGAAAGCAGATGTGTGAGGCTAGCACCTGCTTGTCCACTGTAGGGCCTTCCACCTGGCAATGACTGACAAAGTGAAAAAGGGCATCATTGTCCCAGAGCACACTCACCAAAACAGAGAGCCTCATCCTCTTCTGCCTGAATACATGTCCACATACCACTCCCATGACCAGCTGGCAATGGCAGCAACAAAACCCAGAGGTGGGAAGAGACGGGGGCCATCCATGTGCTGGAAGAAGTTCTCTGTACCCTTTCCTAACCTGTCCTCTTCTACCAACCTTAAATACTGTGTGGAATTCGGACAGTCCACTGAAGGTTTATCACAGCGTGCGTCATTCCCAGCCCTCTCTGGTTATGGTCGATAGCAGCGGCAGACACCGACGCAGGGAGAGACGGGCAGACGTAGAAAGGGCAGCACTGGGCATGTTCAAGGCGCTGAGCTGGCCTGTGTCCTTCCTCCGAATCCACTTTGTCTTAGTTCACTCTGTCAACTAGTGATTTCTTTCTTTGAAGTGACACCCTTGGCAACTCTGGCCAGATTACAGAGCTTAAAGAGGATGACGTCAGGAATGTTTAGATGACATCAGGAAGGTTGTACAATGTTCAGCGAATAAGATGAATAAGCCAAATCTACGTCTCTAGCTCGTCTTTGCGGTAGTACCACCATTGATTGACACCCACTGAGTTTTAAGGCCTGTTCCCTTTAGAATGAGAGCCCCGCTCTGTGCTTCCAGCCCCTCGTTCATCCTGCAGCCGGGGCAGAATGAAGGGCGTTTCCCAGAAGGTGACTGGCAGAGACAGTGCTATTCTGGAGGCAGAGTTTGGGTTCTAGAAGTAGTCATTTGCCCACCCTGGCCATTAAATTTCATAATCTGAGGGGATTAGACTGGGTCATCTGATCACTGTGTGCAAAATGTGTGCTTCATTATCACAAAAAGTAACTAAAAGAAGGTAGAAATCTGCCATAGAGTTTGCGTCTTTTTTTTTCTTTTTTTTTTTTTTTTTTTTTTGACTGGTAAGGGGATCGCAACCCTTGGCTTGGTGTCACCTGCACCGCACTCAGCCAGTGAGCGCACCAGCCATCCCTACATAGGATCCGAACCCACAGCCTCAGCGCTGCGCTCCCAGCGCTGCACTCTCCCTAGTGAGCCACAGGTCCAGCACGCTCAAATGTGTGCCAGGGCCAGATTGATATCGTACATGTAAGTAAGGCAGTTATGAGATTGTTAGCGGGGAGTGTTGGGACCTGGGGTGAGAAGAAAAGCCTATTCCTTATGGAAAGGGTCATCACTACTCTGCACCAAACTCTGTTGTTTTGCAGAAACCTATTTGCCAGGTCTTCTGAAAAATCTGGCTTTTTAAAATGAGAAATTTTTTAAAACATTATCTAGATCAAAGAATATATTTATGTAGTGAGTTCAACCCAAAGATCCCATCTCAGCTCTGGGCCACCTGCTTTTAATCTCAGATCTAGAAGCCGCAGTTTATCCTATTTACAATATATTCATGAAGTCTGTGTGAGCGCAGTACACCCGTTGATGAGATGAGACAAGAATATTCCTTGTGTTGTAAATGTGAGCGTGTGCATGTATGTATCTGTAGCAATTTGGAACTAGCATCTGTAGGATCCAAAGTAGCTCGAACGTATTTATTTGTGTGGATTGATCATGAAAGCAATATACCATATTCCTAAAAAGAACATTTGTTCCAGCTGTCCGTGTTTCAG